AAGAAGTGCTTTCAAATATTTTATTTTGAATAATTGTAGAGTTCTGAGATATCAGTTAAATTTTAATGGAATTTTTTATATGTTAAAAGTGTTACATGGCACACTAAATTTACCCAAAGCTCAATAAATAATAAAGGCAATAGAACATCAAAAGGATTTTTAACATACTTTGCACCAGTAACTTGTAAATTTAATGGTTAAAATATGAAAACACAAATAATGGTAAATAAATGTGTTGTAGATCATTTATGGAGGAACACTTTTGGGGCAAGTGTCCAGAAAAATCCCTCATCTGTCACGTTCTGTGAAGGTAGCTTTAGTGTGCAGTAAAATGTAATACATCAGAAAATGTAATGTAACAATTCAGTCATTGGATGCTGTGGTCAGTGAGATTTGTAATACAGTCTACCTTTGAAATTTACAATGTAAGTCCTTTAGTAATTAGTAATTTGTGTCTAGCACCCTACTCTGCTAATTAAAGTAGAAATGAAAATATGTGAGATACAATGCATGTAAAACACTTAATACTCAATCTGACATTTACAAGCTTTCCAAAGTAAATTTAATTGTTGTAACACAATTGCTATGTTACTCTTTTTACTTATATCAAAGAGTGTAACAATTCCTGCCATGGGAGTGTCTTATCAATGTGGTAGTTCTTGTTCCAATGTTTTGTTCCATTTCTAAAAGTCTTTTGATTTTTTATAATTAAGTTTCAATAACCATTTGACAAAAATTACTAAATCTTGATTTTTACTGCAAGTCAAACAGCTTTTATTTAACTGAAATGCATTTTTGAAGATATATTTGACCTTTGTGACTTGATGAATTAATTTTAAGAATTTATTTTTATGGTCTGGATTAAATATGAAGTAATACACATATATTATTATATCTGTTAATTACAAAATCCAAAGTTAATTGCTCCTTGTCAGGATGCTTACAGCTTTTCATTTAAGTTATGCTGATTTTCAAACTGAAAAATGCATGTGGTATGCTTGCTAATAATTTTGCACGGGTGAAAATTTTAATTTTATTTATATTTTACTCTTTACCCTAAACTATGCAGAAATGAACACCAATGTTTTCTTTCATTTTATTGTGAATTAATTGCACTTCATTGTAACATATCTAGCATTTGTAATTTCCCATTAAAAGAATCGGGTCAGTAGAGAGACAGGAGAGTAGAGACACATACCTCTGGGAGTTAATTGGTGCCAGGATTGTGAACCAAGGGTTGCCAGTTGAATTCCCAGTCAGGGCACATGCCTGATCCCCAGTAGGGTTGCATGAGAAGCAACCACATGTGGTTGTTTCTCTCTCTCTCTTTCTCCCTCCTTTCTCTCTCTCTAAAAATAAATAAAATTAAAAAAAATTAGACATTAACTTGCTTTCTTTAGTCATTTTCTGGTATCTCATCCCCACACTCCTCCAACCCATCTATTAATGTCTGCAACAGGCCAAGAATGCAACCTTATCTAATAGGATCTTTGTAAATGTAAATTAAGATAAGGACTTAATGCTATATGTGCCCCTTAAATAATGCATATGGCATTCTCTAAGAATAGGGACATTTGGACACAGAGACAGACACACAGGATGAGAACAATGAGATGACAGAGGCAGAGCCTGGAGTAAGATGTCTGTCAGCCAAGGGATGCCAAGGACTCAGGGCTCCACCCAATAGAAATGCATGGTCCAGAGTCTCCCCCAGATCTTCACAGAGAAGATAGTCCTATTGACCCCTTGTCTTAGAGGTTAACCTGCCAACTGAGACAGATTAAATATTGTTGGTGCAAGCCAGAAAACATTAAAATAGATGATGAGAAGACCCATGGGCAGGGACAATTGTGTAGGTATAGACTGTAGGGTGGGTGGAAAAGGCAGGGGAAGGAAACAGGAGAAATCGTGGGACAACTGCAATTGAAAAACAATAAAAAATAAAAATAATAAAGAATAAAATAGATCATGTTTGGAGGTATAAGTGTTTCATGAAAGCATTTTGAACAAAGTTAGAATAACTGGGAATGCCATCTAAGAGAAAACTGCAATATCATTGAGTTTCACTGGGAACATGATATTCATATGTATGAAGACATGGAGTTGGTGTAAAAACCAGCAACATTTGCCTCTAATCATTGCAGTGTACAAGTTATATGGTCGCAAATACATTCTCCGTTCTGTTCTCATAGCTTGTCACTTATTTCTCTTTTTGTTATTTACACTGAACATCTGTGAGGGCAGAGCATTTCAAACAGACTCTGCAATCTCTGTGACGCTGCTGTCAGAGTCACTTTATGTCAGAGAAGCAGTTGTTGAGATAAATGGGGCTTTAACCATATACACAAAAGTCATCATTTCCCCAAGATCATCCAAAGAAGTATGACAAGTTCTTTTTTGGAAATATTGTTGTTGATGCACTAATTTCCTATTCAGACTTATTCTCCAGATCATTGCGCTTGGTGATTCCCCTCAAAAGTTTAATGACTTCTATTTGTTCCCTCTATTGACAAGAGGTACTTTATATTTGAGAAATTATTCCTATCATTATATGATGACTCTATATATTTGTACATTGATTGTGTTAAATACAAGGACACATACCTGGCAGTATTGAAATGATATGAAGACCAATGTGGCTCTGCAGTGCATGAGGATATGTCATACTCTGACCTCTGGGATTTCCAGAACCCCCACAGGGGTCATCACTGCTGGGGCACTACTCCCATCTGCACCTGTTTCTATGGGTGTTATTGTAGATTACATATTTTTCAGTGAATCTACATTTCTTCTCTCTGACCACTATGAGAAGGGTATACTTTGCAGAAAATTAACAAAGTGGCCATGTGACTGGTTTGGTTAACATAATGTTTGTGAAAGTAACAGTTTGAGTTCAGAGCACAGGCATTAAGTACCACATTTCTGCTAGTTCTGTCCAGACTGGCTAATCCCTGCTCTGAGGAGGTCACTAGTCAGGTAGCCCATTGTTCAGAGAATAAAAGATATAAAAAAGATCTGAACTGAGTCTGTGGTCTGGAGCTAAGCCCATACATGCTCAGCCTATATCACCTGAAAGCCAACCAAACCACACATGGGTAACTGAGAAATATAGAGTAAAATTAATGTTTGTTTCCAAATGCCAATACAACTGAGTTGTTTGTAACAACAATGTCAGGTATTAGATACAACTCAATACACATATCACATGAAATTAATTTTTATTAGTCACATATTATATATATGTATGAACATAATGAATAAATACAGAGACCATAAACAAGATACATTTAAACAGATGAATGTATAGGAATTAATTCACTTTGCACATGATAAACAAATATAGGGTCTCTCCCATTTGTAATTGAATTATATTGAAAATACTACATAATGAAGTCAAATTAATAAATTTCTTCCCACATTCTGTCAATAACCAATGTTTAATTCACATGGACATGTTATCTTTTTAAATTTTATATTCTTATTTTTTAAATTGTATCTTTTCTATCAGTGTAGGATCCTAAGCATAGTAATTAATAATGACAAAAGGGAAAAGCAAAGAATTTAATAAAACAAGGTGCCTTCAAAAATAACTACAATCTAGTAGAGGAAAAAAACAGATATATAAGAGATATCAAAGGACACTAATTATTGCCCAATGAAACTAGCAGTCTCTACCGAAAAACCACTACAATCATTGATAATGATGCACTAAATAGATTCAGAAGATATTTGTGTTGGTTCTGTTGTCCAAGCAAGTAGAATATAGTCACATGGCTATACAAACTTTTGGGTTATTACATAGTAACAGTGAGTGCCAATTAGATATTTAGTTCTCTCTGCTCCATCCCTATACCTATTACCCTTTCTGAGATAATGGCACCAGGTCCTACAACCTCTTCTCCAGTCAGCTCACTTGATGTTTTGTCAGTGAAGGGCACTGGGAGAAAGGACTCCTCTTCCTGGTTTCATGCTGTTTTCTCTCCTGTGGCTCCAGTGCTGTGGCTGACATCTGCATGCATGCAGGAAGTTCTGGTGGTGTTCACCCTGCAGCAAGTTTCTGGGACTAGTCACTGCCATACTTCCCTCTTCTCTAGCCTGGGCCTGCTGACACTTTGTCAGAGAGGTCGTCCTACTTTCCAGTCACACTGTGAGATCCATCCTCACCCACACCAGCCTGCAGACTGAGAGCTGCTCTCTCCTGGAGCCCCCAGTGAACATGTCTGCCATAGACTTTTCTGTACTGACATGAGTCTGAAACCCATCCCTGAGGAGATAGCCTTGGGTCATATATGATTCTTCCTTTCAGTAATCTTTTTGGATTAACCCTTTGGTACAATTTGTAATTTTCTTCTTCCCCTCTCTGCAGGCTATCACCCCCAAAATGCTTAATAATTATTTGAATCATCCCTGGTTTCTCTCTCCTGACTCAATTGCCTTACACACCTTTTTATCCTGATATGTGCAGTCCTCATTTTCAACATTCAAAGGCTGGGGAAAATTATATTGAAGATGTGTCTACAATTACTCATGTAAATTTAGAGTTAGAAGTAGCAGTGCTTGATGTTACAATTCATAATTCATTCAAATTAATAATTTATACTTCACATATTTTAATTAATAATATGATCTTAAAATGTTTAAATGCACCTGGATATATATTTTTAAAGGTTAACATAAATATAGATATCAAAACAATTCTATAATACCAAGGATGAAGCATCAGATAAATTTTGAACTTTAAGTGACTACCATGTGTCAGTACAGACTCACTCTCAGTAACAAATGTCCCACTCTGCTGAGAGATGCTGATAATGGGGATGTTCATGCAAGGAACATGGGAAATGTCAGTTCCTTCCTTTTATTTATGTAGTGAAAACAAAGCTGGTCACAAAATAATTCTTAAAACTTAGTTTTACAAAAATAGTTGTAGCATTCTTACAGAAACTAGAAATGTGCTTTTTAGGGATGGTAAGAGTAACATTATACCAAATTTAGGTGAGCTAATGTGACTGGTGCTTACAAATATATGTTCTGTTTTCTACACAGGACTCAGAATAGAAGTTGTGTGTGTCATAATTCCAATATACACAATTCTTGTCCAACTCGGAAGTTTTGGCAAATCTGAAATGCAGAGATCATAAATCATTAATCTATAATATATAACTTAATATTAAATAAACAAATATTTACAGGAATATTTACACAGGAAATCTGAATCTTCCTTAAATTTTTTCTTAAAAGACACTTAAATATTTCTTCACATACTGGTTTACCCATTGCCTTTTGTTTCTAAGATTCATTCCTGATTAGAAAGCATGAGGGAATAAATAATATACAGGCATTCTAAAGAAACTTACAGTTCAGAAGAGAGAGTTGTGCCAATTGTCCACACCCAAGAATTAGTAGTATTTCTCTGGGACAGTACAGTCCATGGATGTATTTCAAAAATGTTCAAAAAATTCTATGAGAAAACAAATTTTATGAGTAATTAGGTAAAATTAATTTGTATTTGTAAAAACAATCAAAGTGGCTCACAGATAGAGGGGGAGGTGACAGCGAAGTAAACTGCACAGCCCACCAACATCTGATGACACTAGTGAATAAGCAATCAACCACATCCTGCACTCCAGGAATTCTTGGTCACCCCACCCAGCTGGCCCAGCATATCCAACACCCAAAGATCACACTGCCTTGTGTGAAAAAATTAAGGACCCTGAATCCACGTGGAACACCTCAAGTTTCACCTGATTTGAGGCAACAGCTGCAGCAGAACCAACAATATTCTAAATAACTGGCTGAAGAAACACGTAAGTCCACGAAACAGTTCATATCTCCTCCTACCACCCTCAGTGAACAGCATGAAAGGAAAATACAGGTTAATTCTTAGTGGCTGAATTCAGAGTATCACTGACCAATTCACCTCCAAAGGTGAGCAGCTGAGAAAGAGAAAGAGTGTTTTGCATCAGTGGGGAGCCTGTGCCAGAGAATCAGGTGGAATACCCGAGGAGAGCTCAAAGAAAGGAATCTTCTGTTCTGGCAAAGCCAAACTCACCCTCAAGCTCAAGTGCAGGATGGGGGAATTCCAGAGGATGACCTCCAGCTTATTCATAAAAAGAGATTTCTCTTAAGCAACTGTAAGCTGATATTATGGATATTAATAAACTTTTCAAATATCTGGGAATGATAATTCATGAAAAAAAGGTGTGGTCACACTAGAAGCCAAAGTTGGAAATGCAGGGGTGCATGTGCAAGAAGCCAACCAGCAACCATCAAGTGTGGCAGAATATCAGAAAGAAAACCCTGCATGTATGTTAGATGCACAAGACTTTTAAGAAAACTACAAATCTACAACTGTGCTACCATAGGAGGATAAACAAAAGTCTAAACCTTTATATTTTATTTTATTTAATTTTTAAAGATTCAACCTATTTAATTTTAGAGAGAGAGGAATAGAGGGAGAAAGAAAGGGAAACATCTATGGGTTGCCTCTCCTATGCTGGATCCCTGATCAATCCTGCAGCAACACAGACATGTGCCCTGACTAGAAATTCAACCAGTGACATTTCCCTTAACACAACAATGTTCAACCCACTGAGCCACACCAGTCAGGACAACCTTTATGTTTTAAATGACATATTATAATTCTTTTGCCTCTGACTTTTATTTGTGCACTGAGAATTTGAATGCAGGTTTTGTTCATATTGAACAATGAGAATGATTTTGGACACTAATAAATTGGCAATAGAAAAATGCAACAATGCTATTTTCAGAGAACTTATTTTGAAAGCAACTTTTGAAGAAATTGTTTTTTTCTTTACTGCTCACATTCAATATTGTTTTGGACCTGCATATAGCTTCAGAGGTGACTATCCCAATGGATCAGGGGACCATCAGACACCATGCATATTTATTAGAATATTGTTGACTATATTCTCCATGTTTTTGCTTTGCATTTCTGTGACTGATTTTATAACTGGCAATTTACAAAAGAACTTTTTCATAAAGTTTCAAAGTGCACAAGCTTTTATGCTACTCTTAATTTTCATACATAGGTAACCATTTTTTACCATTCTTCATTAAAAAAAAATAGATGTATGCCAAAGAGCTCTCTTCCTTTTTAAAATCAATGTTATTGTTTGTTTTGTTTCTCACTTTATTTTTATTGATGAAAGAGAGAGAGCAAGGAATCAGGTAGTCTGTCTACTTAGTGTTGCATTCCTTGGGAGCTTCTTGTATGTGCATGATGGGACATCAACCAGACCCTGCCTGTATTCCAATGATATTCTAACCAGTGGACCTACCAGGACTGGACCTGTATCATTATTTGTTTCAATGATCTAATCAGAATGAAGAAAGAGAATTATATAGGTTATAGTTTATATTTTATACTGTTCTTATATAGCAGTTTGAAAAAAAAGCAATGTTGTATATGGCAAGCTATGAGACTTCAAATGGAATCAAATAAAATATTAAGTAACTAAATTATATATTTGCAACCTAAATAAAGATGATTTTAAAAATGATAAACCAAATAGAGTTATTTTTCTAGGTTAGAGTGATACAATTTATAATATACTTTTATATATATTGGACACATTAAGAAAATGTATTAGCGTGATTAGGTGAAGGGACAAACATAACAATTTCATCCTTCTGAAATGTGATCAAAGAGTAAAAATAACATGGGCATTTTTTACTAGAAAAAGCAGCCAGAGATTCCAGTGAAAACAGAGCAACTTTGTAGTCTTCATATCTAAGACTGCTCCCATGTCTCCCCCATTCCCCATCTCAGTTCATACATAAGAAGTGTAATTCTTACTGTTTGGGGAATGCTGAAACATCACTGGTGTTGCCACAGGGAAAGTCTGATTACCTCTGGAAGTGGTGGTGAAACTGCCCACTCCTTTTTCAGGCCAAAGGGCTGAATTCACTAGGTTAAAAGTGAAGATGACCACCCTTTTTCTGGTCTGTGTCATCACAGTGCCAGCTACAAACAGGAAGATACTGAATGTGAGAACACAGTATAAGAGATGGTATTAACTCTCTACACCTACTTGGTTGGTGGGAAAAGTATTAGCACTGTGCACAAGAAATAGTATTAGCACTGTGCACAACAAAGATAATCCGGTAAAAAAAAATAAGCCAAATTTGATTTGAAAACTGATTTTAAAATTACGAGTACTCCTTCACAAACATGCACACACAGAAATACATCAAGTAGCAGAGGGTGGAGCCATACTGACTGAGGTATTTGGATAAATTTTTAAAAATCATTGGTTGTCAGGTAAGCTATGCAGGCCCAAGGGGAATCTCAGTAATTGAGCCTAAAAATAAAATAATAACAAGAATTTTAAAAACTGAGTAAGCATACTTCAAAATAGATGACTCTACAGTAAAATTTTATAACTGAAGTTACAAAAATATTAATCTAATAAGCATGTAGGAGGATTCATGTTTATTAGACTATGTTATTGAAAATGTAGACTTACCAAAATTTTGAAACTATTCAAAGAAGCTAAAAAATATCTTCCATACTCAGGGGGATAAATCAGCCACACGATACAACTTTCACTGGGATAAGATGTTGGATTTTTATACGAGTATTTAATATTAGTTATTATGAATATATATTTATCTAAAATGTATTTTAAAAACTATGTTCAGATAACTCTATGGCAATATGATGGCAGTCACAGAACAATTAGTAAAATAAAAACTATGAATGAATCAAATAAAATTATCAGTTGAAAAATAATTATCTACATTATGATATTCAATACATTTACATAAATATTGAGATGTAGAAGAAAGAATTGATAAAATAAAGATGAAGTGACAGAAATGATATATCCTGAAGGTAGAGGAAAAGGGAGAGAAAAATTAACAGAGGCTTGGAGACCATTATAGAACTTTATCAGTAAAATTGACTGGTGTAATTAATTGCCTGTGAACAAAAGAAAGACAAAAGAAGACAGAAAAACAACTTTTGAGACACAATGAATGATTATCCTCTTAAATTTTATGTTAAAATATATAGACCCATGTATATAAAGTTGTTTATGTAGAAAAGATCATCTGCTATAAATTATGCCACATCAACTAGGTAATGATGCAGGAAAGTGGGAACTACACCTCTACCACACAGCATCACAAACACTGCATCAGAAAAATATAAATTCTCAAAGTATTATAGACCTAAAAGTAAAAGTCCATCAATAAAGAGAAAAGATAAACCATAAAAAGTAATGCAGTAGATTATCTTCATGAACTTTGACTAACTCGTGAAACATGTCCAAAATAATCACCAACATCCAAAACAAGATATTGGATTATGGTAATGTTGATAAGTCCTAATCATTAAAAAACTCCAATATGTGGAGAAAAATGTAATTAATAGTCAGGAAAGCCATTTGCATATCACAAATTCAAAAAAGTCATATCCAAAATATAACTACTTCTAAGAATGAAAATTACAGGTAACATACAGGAAAAATGGTCAAGAGTTCGTAAGTGGGCACTTCTCATTCTCACAGTACAGAAATTCATAATGAATGGTGCTCTGAGAGATGTGTTCAATTGATCAGTATGAGGAAAATACCCATCAGTGTCATAATGATGCTTTCATATAATGATTACAGCTGATGGCATTAAATGTTCTGGCAGTACTAAGCTTTGGATCAGGAAACCGTTGGATATAACGTATGCTTATACAACAAACTAGAAATCGAGATAATTTAAATACCCATATATTTCTGACCCTGCAAATTCAATCTCATGCAAAATGGGAATACCTTTTACTGATACACATATATCATTAGAACAATTATATTTATAAATTAATATTACATTATTATAAAAATAACATGGCATACCAATTATATATTATATGTGTTATTGTGTATAAATTATTCTAAATATACGTTATTTGGAAAAACAGACATACACAAGGATTTTTATTAAATAATTATTCTTAACAACCACACACTAAAAATATCTCTATTTTGAGTAGAACAGATTAAAGAATGCCTGGTATATACAATAGAGCAGTGAAAATAAACAAACTCCAGGTACATTCAATAATGTGGATTAATTGAAACAATATTATGAGGGAGTTAATGGAGACATGTAAAATGCATAATGAATGACTCCCATTTTGTAAAGTTCAAAATTAGGCAAAGATAATTTGTCTAATTTAGACAAAGATAATCTGTGAAATCTCAGAACAGTGCTTATGTGAGAAGAGAGGAGAAATCATGAGAGTGCACAGGAGCTCATTAGCAACACCTATTTCATAACCAATTTCAGTTGCCAACATGCACAATCATATCTATAGTCTCCATGATGCATGGTACAATGAAGTAGCAAAGTTTAGGAAAAAAGCATTTATAGAAGCCTGATTGTGTATGAAAATCAATAACTGAAAATTATCAAATGCACATTAATGCTATAAAACATAAATAAAATATAAATTCAAACAATGAAATACTAACAGTTTTTAAAGTAAATTATAGATATATACAAAAATATGAAGGAAGTTTATAGAATATAAAATAAAATACTCATTTAGGTAAAATGTTGGAAACATTAAAAATGTTACCATTTCTTCCTCATTATCTATATAGAGCAGGTTAGAGTTCTTAGAAGCACAGGCCATCAGACTCTCATTCCATGTTTTTCCTTCAGTGCTGATGTAATAGCAGTTGTTGGAATATGTAAGCCATTCTGGTGGACATCGACCACAATGATATGCTAAAGGAAGATTATGTATTGTTATCCAAGAACAATATGAATTGTAAAATGAAAATTAATTTCAGTGTTTGCACAGGCATAGACAAATTAGTGCACAGTATATGCATATGCCCTCACAACTGGCATATATAAAGCATAATACACTCATACACACTCACACACTCTCATAGAGAAGGGTCAGCCCCTCATTCCCTAGTTTATGTGCCCATATTAAGCAAACACACAAAACAAAAATACCCACTTTCTATATGTCCTGAATGTCAATGAAAGAAACCGCATTTTTAGAACCACATATTATCTTTCAGTCAATTGGAAACAATGAGTATGATAAATTTAAATGAATATTTCTTCATGTTTTTGCATAAGAAATGCACTTTCTACACTCATTTTATATACATTTATTGCCCAGTATTATAATTTATGTTCCTTTGACCTCCCCCCAAAAACCTATAAATTTTGACTGTTAGAGACAAGGTAAAAGCTGTATTGATACCGGAACATAGAAAATAATTAGGTACCTTTCCGGTTCCCTGTTTTGTTCCCTGTCTCCTTCTCTTCTGTAACTGTCTGGCTCCCTGTTAAAATAATTTATAATTTATATTATATACAAGAAAGAAGAGTTATTTTGAACCAGTAGTATGTTAGCTAGAAAAAGTAGTAATCATTATAAAAAATTAATGTTGATCTACATAAATCATAATACTTTTGTTCCTTACTGTGAAATATGCTACAATTGTCTAAGATTAAAATAATCTGGAATAAATTTGATTTTACCAAGAAAAATCAATGAAGCTATGACAATTTGGGGAAAAATATTTCAAAACCCTTGAGAAGGAAACTTCACCATCTCTTACAGTTATGGTCTAATCAATAAGAAGAATTTATTTGTATTTCTCAATAAAGTGTACTAAAGAATGATTTGAATTATAACTGATATGTGGTGTATATATATATTTATTTGTAAATTACTTTCTAAAAAGTTCTGATATCTATACCTTGGACAAATTTTTTTCAGAGTAACAATTTTGCTCTTAGTCTATAGGCATACTTTAAAACAAGTCTTTATTCTACAATATTATGAAGTACTTAGATGCTCTGATGAATATAAAAATAATGAATTTTTAACTGAACACAATTTGAATTATAAAACAAAAACTTACATATATGCATAGGTATATGCATACATCAGCACAATATCTGTGCACACTTACAGGCTGATACATATAAAACAAAAAGCATTCATATACGCATCATGGAGAAAGGTCATCTCTCATCCCCTATTGTTTGTGGCCATATTATTTATTAAAAAATAAATATATCCATTGTCTCATGCCTAGGACGTCAATGAATGTAACCACTTCTTATGTAGCATAGTAATGTTATTTGTTCATCTTTTAGAGCTGTAGGATATATAAGCTAATTTGTCTCAATGGGTGATTTTATTTTATTCATTTATTTTTTATTCTCACAAGAAGATATGCTTATTGATTGTAAGGAGAGAGGAAGGGAAAGGAAGAGAGAAAGAAACAGTGATGTGAGAAAGAAGTATTAATGAGTTGCCTCCTGTACATGTCCTGAGCAGGGATCAAACACGCAACCTGGGATGAACCTTGACCAGGGATCAAACCTGCAATCTTTTGGTGTGAGGGATGACATTCAAATCAGCTGAGCCACTGAGGCAGACATGGATATGGTAATTTTAAATATATACTACTTCATATTGCATGAGAAAAAATCACTCTTATAATCATTTATGAACTTTTATTGCTATATTTCATCATTTATATTCTCCCTCATAAGTATATTTTATTTGTGTCTTCCCTAAAACAGATAAAATATAAATGGTACTAAAAACAGAGCTTTCAAAATCATAATATATCTTTTTCCATCCTTGCTGCTGTGGACAAATTGTGCCTCCCCAGTTGTACAGTACCTAGAAAATGTTACAGTGATTCTCAAAATAAAAGTTAATACTGATAGAATTAAAACACCATAATTTTGGTTTCTTAGTTTGAAATTTGGAGTATTGTTTAGGAGCAGAGAAATCTGAAATAAAATTGATTTCACCAAAGCAAGTAATACAAAAGTAAAGATTTAGGGGAAGAATATCTCAAAAGACTTTGGATCACATGTTACCATTTCTAAAACTAGTGGATTAAACAATCCCAAGAATTATTTTGTATTTATCAATAATGTCCTTAGATTCCTAATGCATATATTTGAGTAATGAAATAAAAATATACAAATGGATATGAAAAGGTCTTTACAATCATTCTATTTATGCACTTGAATAACTCAGAATGACATTCCACATTTCTCTAAATGTTTACTTTAAAGTGAAAGCTCTATTCCATAATAAATCAAACTATTTAGAGGCACTGAGATTCATTAAAGTGGGAACTTCTTTTAAAATATTCAAAAGATTACTTACAGAGAATCATTCTTACTAAAGTGTACATCAAGACAAAGCAGATGACTCCCAGGATCCCAGCAATGAGCTTCTCTGGTGGGGATGGTGAATCTGCAGCGAGAGAAAAACAAATGGGAACATTAGCTGGACAGTTTTCGGAGAGAACCCAAATGAACAGGGAATCACATAAATAAACTTGGACCATCCCCAGACCAAGTCTTCCACTGCAGTCTGCCCCTCACAATATGCCACTGCCTTGTCAGGAAACATAATCCTCCCTGAGTTACCAGTCAAAGACTGAACCTTACAACGATGTCTGAATAAATCAGTCCTCAGATTTCATATTAAGACACTGTTTTGCAACTTTAAGCTCTGGTCTTCACAAATGAACAAATGTCAGCTAATTCCCCACCCTTTCCCCCACACTTCTTCCCGCCAACTGCACATCCCAGAACAGTTCTATTGTGTGCCTGTTAATTGTGTCACCTGTGCGATGGTTCTTGTCATTCCACTGAGGATCTTGAGAAGCATTTGGAAACTCCATTTCTGCAGAGGACATTTGCTGTTTGGTTTGTAAAAGGGAGCTTTTCATGCCTTTGCCTTTCCTTTGCTGTCTCCTGGAGTCCTCAGCCAGATTCAGTTCTGAGTCGTTTTCTCCCTGGAGATCCATCTCTGCAGCTGAGTAATGTCAGGGATGGTGCCTGTGATGACAGTCCTTCAGTGTTAATACGTGATGTGAGCACTGACAGGATCCCCAGGAGAGTCAGTGTGGGTGGAGGGTGAGGGAAGAAACAGTACTCACTTTGCATTGGGCCAATGTGAAGTCTTCTTCTCACTGACTTAGAGATTTAAATGTTTCCCATACAATAATTGGATAATTCTATGATTTTCTATGTTTGACATGATATTATTGGTTGAAGCAGTGAAAAGTAATAAGTTAGCAAAGAATAAAGTAGTTCAAAATATCTTTATAAAATCAAATTCCACTGAAACATTTTAACACTATGCTGTTTAAAAAAATGCACCAATTTTAATGACAATTTCTAAATCCAATAATGTTTAAGACTGAGTGTTCTAAAGTTGGAGGAATGGTACTGTTAGCACATATGGTAATTAACTGCAATATATTAATGTAATTTAGTCACAATTATTAGGTCAAAGCACAGAAGAGGTGTTATCAAATATTTTATTTTGAATAATTGTAGAGTTCTGAGAGATGAGTTAAAAATTTTAATGAAATGTTTTGTATGTTGAAAATGTTACATGACACACTAAATTTACCCAAAGCTCGATAAATAATAAGTGCAATAGAACATCAAAGGATTATGTAACACACTTTACACCAGTAACTTGTAATTTATTTAATGGTTAAGATATGAAAACACACAAAATGATAAATAAATTTGTTGCAGATCGTTTATGGAGGAACACTTTTGCTGCAAATGTCCAGAAAAATCCCTTGGCTATCACAGTCTGTGAAGGCAGCTTTAATGTGCAGGTAAATGTAATTTAATAATTCAGTCACTGGATGCTGCAGGCAGTGAGATTTGTAGTGCAGTCTGGCTTTGAAATTCACAGTGCATGACCATTAGTAATTAGTGTCTAGTGACACAGTTTGCTAATTAAAGTGGGAATGAAAATATGTGAGATACAATGCATGTAAAACACTTAATACTCAATCTACATTTATAAGCTTTCCAGAAAAATATTATAACACAGTTGACATGTTACTATTTTTACTTATATCAGACAGTGTAACAATTCCTGCCACAGGAGCATCTTACCAATGTGGCATCTCTTGTTGCAATGTTTTGTTTAATTTCTAAAAATCTTTGGATTGTTTATAATTAAGTTTAAATAACTATTTTACAGAGACTACTAAATCTTGATTTTTATTGCAAGTCAAACAGCTTTTATTTAACCTAAATGCGTTATTGAAGATATATTTGACCTTTGTGATTTGATGAATTTAAGAATCTATATTTATGGTGTGTATTAAATATGGAGTAATACACATATATTATTATACTTGTTAATTACAAAATCCAAAGTTAACTGTTCCTTGTCAGGATGCTTACAGCTTTTCATTTAAGTTATCCTCATTTTCAAACCAAAATATGTATGTGGTATGCTTGCTAGTAATTTTGCACAGGCAAAAATTTGAATTTTTTTCAAATTATACGTTTTACCCTAAACTATGCCACCAATGTTTTCTTCAATTGAACACCAATGTTTTCTTCCATTTTATTGTGTATTAATTGTGCTTCGTTTGTAACACATCTACCATTTGTAATTTCCCATTAACAGAATCGGGTCAGTACAGAGACGGAAGAGTAGAGACACACACCTCTGGAAGCCAGAAAGTCCTGCATCCTTCACAGGAGACCTGCTGACTCCCGTCTACAAGCAGTGTCTGTGGTCCTCACAGACAGACCCCTGAACACTGAGAGTGAGGCAAAAGTATAAAAAAAGTAGATTCCTCATCACTGTGTCACTTAAAGTTTGAACAGGAAATTCTGATTCTTGGGCAATTTTGAAGATGGCTTATTTCCTCACACACCTCCAGAACAGAGGAGATTGAACTTGTCGGGTGTCATTTAGTTTGTGCATTCATAAGTGTCCCTGGGAAATTATTTGTGTATTCCCAAAGATTTCTGGGACAAAAAACTCGTCCCCCCTACTGTTAACATACCTACATCTTAAAATTTACAAACATGGAAAATTTAGGCTTTCTTAAGAGTATGTTAGATGTTGCAATCCTACCCTAATCAATGTTACTAAATTCTGGCATTACTTAAATTGATTTATATGCTCACTGTCTCTTAGTTATAATGGAAAAAGATAAAATTACAATTCCATTAGCAATAGGTACTCAATGATACTTGTCATTAATATTCTGAGGAATGACTGCATTTTCAACTAAGGATAACTGTCACAAATATTAATGCCCAAACTTACCTCCTCAATTTCTCTGCCTTTGTTATATTAATTGCTGAATTAAATTTGTTATTTTTATATAAGGAATTTATATTCTCTCTGATAAAAATAAATGTCTCTGAGAAGGAGAAAACATGAAACAACATTGTACTATACTATAATGTAAGAGATGGAAATAATAAATTGCTACTCATTTTATTATTCATTAATTCATCCTCCAATCATAAGTACCTGCCTGTATTTTAACAGAAATATTTGTTGTGAATGACAAAAGCCAAAATGTAACTATGTAGGATGAAAATGAATGCAATTTAAAAAAATTTAACCTAATCAAAATAGAAAATGGCAGAAAAAGTGGTTTTGAAAACACAAGTTAAATGACACATGAATCTCAGAAGAAATTAAACATTACATGTAAGTCATCTAGTATGTGTCAAATGGAATTATTTTCATCCATTTCATATTGTATCAAGAAAAGAGGGAATGTTTATCTATTATTGGTAGTGAGTTATAATTGGAAGTACCATGTGGTCCAGCAATCCCACTTCTGGGCATATATCCAAAGTGACACAATTATTATGAATAATTATCTGTATTCCCAGGTTCCTTGAAGCATTATTCACCGTAACTAAGGGTAACTAAGGTGTGAAAGCAACCTAAGCATGTTTAATGGATGAATGGACTAAAGTCATACCCACACTTACACACCCAATGAATTATTTTGAGCCATGAGAAAAATAAATTTTTCTCACTGATGACTAAGATGAACCTTAAGGCATTTTGCTAAGTGAAATAATTGAGACAAAGAAAGACTAATGCTGCATGGTATCATTTATATGTAAAATTTAAAAGTAACAAGCTCAGACTAATGGTTATCTAGGGCTGAGAATAAGAATTTAAGAAGAAGTTAGTAAAAGTTACAAACTTTCACTTGTAAGATGAAGAAGCCTAAGGATCTAACATATCACATGGTGGCTACAGTCAATAACACTGTATCACATAATTGAAGTTCACCCAGACATGGATCCGAAATGTTCTTACCAAAGGGGAAAAAGGTAACAAATAAACTGCAGATCATAAAACTTTCAATTGATATGCAACCTACTGCATAGGAGAAGTTCTAAAAGATTATTCTACAAATTGGTAGTTACAAAATTGTCTTGGAATGTAAAGGATAGGAAATATAGTCAATAATATTGAAATAATCACATAATGTGTTCGGTGTGGACTAGACTTATTCAGCCGGGAATCAATCCATAAATTACATAAGGGTCTAACCACTATGCTGAAACTATACTACAATGATATTGGAGGTTGATTGTAATTGCAAAATAAAAATTAAAGTAAAATTGCATTTGTGAAAATAAAAACACATTCTTTAATGTGGTTTGATCTCACTGTATAAGTGCAATTTTTGAAAGTCCCATGAACAACATCATTACTTATTACCTGTTATATGCTGAAAATAATTGAGGTCTGAAAATCATGGGGTGAAAAGTTGGTCTTTAAACCATGTACTTCATTAACACAAAATAACAGAAAAGCCAACACACTTATTCTAAGGCTATGATATACTTTTGCATTTGGGTAAAAAAAAAAAAGGAGGTTCCAGAAGTTTTTCTATTTTGGGAGGATAAGGCAAAATTATTTAAAGTTTTAAGCTCAATTTTTGGGAAATGTGTTTTTTTTTAATTTACTTAAAGAAAATGAAGAAATGTGTTTATAGCATACAAAAGGTTATTTGTATTACAGCATTGGAGAGAGAAACTATCATCTGATTGATGCTTTTACTCTACAAGCATTGGCTTAGCTGTCAGTATTAGTCTAAAATGAGTTACCTAGGAAATATCCATTCAAGAGAAAATTATGTAGTCTCAGGTATGACATATGTTGCCATGACGCATGCCCAGTGGCCTGCAGTGAGCTCAGAATGCTGCAGATGGCTCGTCGAAACACGAGAAAGACATACACAGAGACAAGCAGTTTCTGTGGGGAAGTAAAAACGGAATGGCTGCTCTCTCTAGTGGGGAGCGTCCTGTCTCAATTCCCAAGCAGATTTTTATTGAGACAACAGACTTAGTTTGTGGATTCACAGTCTAGCAGAAAAGATCAAAAGAAGTAGGTGACTTACAAAGGTGCAGATAGAACCCCCATGTGATTCTGGGCAGAGATTGGAGTTTTAACATATGAAAGGACTACAGGTTCCAAAGGTTTCCTGTCTGTGTCTTTAAATTCAAGTTAATAACATCCTCCAGCAAACAGATCTCACAGGATCTTGCATATTCTATGTCCCAGGCCTGATTACCCTGGGGATCTGCTATTTCTGGTCTGGGCTGCACCGCCGCTGCTATTTCCGCAGGCCTGAGTTAACAGAGTAGACAAACGCAGCCAGGAGACTTGGATTTCTCACATCTAAGAACAAGGACTCAGGCTTTGACAAAGCCAAAGGGGCAGGGGTTGATGTCCATCACCCTTTCATATCCACAGCCCTAAGTCTCTTCCCTTAGGGCATTATCACGTGATAGCGTCTGCCTTAGACCCATTCTCTTTCCTAGAGAATTGTTACCCGTCATTGACTGCCGACCACACAAAGGGAGCCAGGCATTTAAATTGCCTTCAAATCAATTTAAATTTTGATAATTTCTGTTTTTCATTCTTATCCAATTACAGTAGTCCCAATTTTCCCCCAGTTGCTCTCCCCTGTCCTACCTACCCCTACTTCCACAGTCAATTCCCACCTTGTTGCCCATGCCCATGGGTCCTTCATACACATTGCTTAACTAGACCCTCCCCTCAGGCAGCGTTCATGCCAGGGAAATAAGTTTTGTCTCCTTAGTGGCTCCTGGTCCGGAGTTCTTTCACTCAGCCTAAGTAACGGCGGGGTTATAGCTTCCTGAGACCAGGAAGGGCAGTCCCCAACATTGCCATTCTTTTTGTAATTATTTTTCCTCTGCTTTTCACTGCATCCCTAAATTGTTAAAATAAGTAAATGTTAGGATAGTGAAAACATGGCCTTACACTTAGAAACATAAACAGGCAAGAAATCACCATTTGCTCTGGTCTCTCCACTTCTTTTTTAAGATCTTATTTACTTTTAGAGAGATGGGAGAGGGAAAGAAACATAATGTCTAATTGCCTCTCACAGGTTGTGGGACCTGACCCACAACCCAGGTATGTGGTCCTCATTGAGAATCAATCCAGGAACCCTTTGGTTTGCAGGCTGCCACTCAATCCACTGAGCCACACCAGCCACAACATTTTCTCTCCACTTCTTATATGGTTAGTACAAAGGTAACTTTTAAACAAATCATATCATTGCCACGTGCTGAATGTTATGAAGGAACTATGGGATGTATAGCTGGTCATCTTCAGCAGGTAATAAAATAGACACATTGCAAACTATACAAATTGTAGCTCTCAGTCTTTGAAAATGAGGTCTGTTAAACATAGGATTTGCCTTCAAATCAATTTAAATTTTGATAATTTCTGTTTTTCATTCTTATCCAATTAGAGTTGTCCCAATTTTCCCCCAGTTGCTCTCCCCTGTCCTACCTACCCCTACTTCCACAGTCAATTCCCACCTTGTTGCCCATGCCCATGGGTCCTTCATACACGTTGCTTAACTAGATTCTCCCCTCTTCCCTCATTATATCCCTCTCTCATCCCCTCTGGTCACTGTTTGTTTGTTATTGCCATGTCTCTCATACTATTCTCTTCATTTGTTTTGTTGATTAGGTTCCACTTATTAGTGAGATCATATGGTATTTGTCTTTCACAGACTGGCTTTATTCACTTAACATACTATTCTGCAGTTCCATCCACACAGTCATGAAGGGCAGGAGTCCCTTCTTTTTTCTGCTGTGTAGTATTCCATTGTGTAAATGTACCACCGTTTTTTGATCCACTCATGTACTGATGGGCACTTAGGCTATTTACAGCTCTTGCTTATTGTAAACAGCACTGCTATGAACATAGGGGTGCATAAGTTCTTTTGAATAGGTGACTCGGGATTCTTAAGTGTTTTCCCAGCAGTGGAATCACTGGATCAAAGGCAGTTCAATTTTTATTTTTTAAAAAGCCATTAATATTTAAAGGGGGACTAGAGCATACAATGGAGAAGACAGCCTCATCAAAAATAAATAAATAAAATTAAAAAAGATTTAGACATAACCTGCTTTTTAAGTCATTTTCTAGGGTTTTATTCCCACACTCCTCCAACCACTGAATTAATGTCTGCAACAGGCCAAGAATGTGACCTTATGTAATAAGGGCCTCTGCAAATGCAGATAAATTATGATAAGGTCATACTGCCATAGGATGGCCCTTAAATAATGCATATGATATCCTATAAGAAGAGGGACATTTGGACACAGAGACAGACACACAGGATGAGAACAATGAGATGACAGAGGCAGAGACGGGAGTAAGATGCCTGGAAGCCAAGGGATGCCAAGGGCTGAGGGCTCCACCCAATAGTAAGAGAAATGCATGGTCCAGAGTCTCCTCTGGATATTGACAGAGAGGACAGTCCTGTTTACCCCTTGATTTCAGAGGTTAACCCTCCAACTATGACAGATGAAATATTGTTGCTGTAAGCCAGAAAACATTAAAATACATGAGGAGAAGACTCATGGGCAGGGACAACAGGGTGAGAATAGACTTCAGGGTGGATGGGAAGGGCAGGTGAGGGCAACAGGGAAAATAGTGGGACAACTGCAATTGAACAATGATAAAAATATAATAAAAAATAAATTTTATCATGTTCAGATGTACAAGTGTTGCATGAAAACATTTTGAACAAAGTTAGAATAACTGGGAATGCCATCTGTGAGAGAACTGCAATATCATTGGGTCCCACTGGGAACATAACATTCAGATGAAGACATGAAGTTGGTGTAAAAACCAGTAACATTGATAAATTTAATGCTAATCATCACAGTATAAAAGTGATATGGTCTCAAGTACATTCTCTATTGTCATTTATTTCTCTTTTTGTTATTTACACTGAACATCTGTGAGGGCAGAGCATTTCAGACAGACTCAGCAATCTCTGTGATGCTGCTGTCAGGGTCACTTTACGTCAGAGAAGCAGCTGTTGAGATGAATGGGGCTTTAACCATATACACAAAAGTCACCATTTTCCCCAAGATCATCCAAAGAAGTCTGAGCAATTTTTTTAAAAATATTTGCTTTGATGAACTAATTTCCTATTCAGACTTATTCTCCTGATCACTTCATTTGGTGATTTCTCCTCAAAAGTTTAATGATTTCTATTTGTTTCCCTATATTGACAAGAGGTAATTCAAATTTGAGAAATTATTCTCATCATTAAATAATGACTCTATTGATGTGTAGATTGACTGTGTTAAAATACAGGACACATACCTGGCAGTACTGAAGTGATGTGAGGACCAATGTGGCTCTCCAGTGTGTGTGGGTATGTCATACTCTGACCTCTGGGATTTCCATAACCCCCACAGGGGTCATCACTGCTGGGACACTACTCTTATCTGCACGTATTTCTATGGCTACATTATTTTTCAGTGAATCTACATTTCTTTACTCTGAGCACTATGAGAAGAGTACACTTTGCAGAAAATTAACAAAGTTGGCTACGTGACTGGTTTGGTTAATAAAATGTTTGTGAAAGTAACTGTTTATGAGTTCAGAGCACAGGCATTAGTAGCACATTTCTGCTAGTTCTGTCCAGAGTGGTTAAACCCTGCTCTGAGAAGGTCACATATCAGGCAGCCCACTGTTCAGAGAATAAAAGATATAAAACAATCTAAACCAAATCTGTGGTCTGCACCTAAGCTCTTATATGCTCAGCCTACAGCAACTGGAAACCAACCAAACCACAGGTGTGTGACTGAGAAAAACTGAGTAAAATTAATGCTTGTTTGTAAATGCCAATACAACTGGGTTGTTTGTAACACAACATCAGGTATTAGAATCAACTCAATGCACATATCACTTGTAATTAATTTTGAATAATCACATATTATATATATGAACATAAGGAAGAAATACAGAGACCATAAACAAGATATATTTAAACAGATGAATGTATAGAAATTATTAATTCATGTTGCACATGATAAACAAATATAGGATCTCTCCTACTTGTAACTGAATTATAGTTAAACTACCACATAATGATGCCAAATTAATAAATTTCTTCCCACATTCTGTCAATAACCAATGTTTAATTCACATGGACATATTATCTTTTTAATTGTTATATTCTTAATTTTAACATTGTATTTTTTTCTATCAGTGTAGGTTTCTAAGCATAGTAATTAAGAATGTTTAAAGGGAAAGACAAACAATTTAATAAAACAAGGTACCTTCAAAAATAACCAAAATCCAGTAGAAGAAAATAAACAGATATATAAGACATATCAAAGGACACTAATTATTGCCCAATGAAACTACCAGTCTCTACCAAAAAATCACTACAATCATAGATAATAACACACTAAATAGATTCAGAAGATATTTGTGTTGGTTCTGTTGTCCAAAGAAGTAGAGTGTAGTCACATGGCTTTTGTTATAGAAACCTTGGGGTTGTTGCATAGTAACAGTGTGTGCCAATTAGATATTTAGTTCTCTCTGCTCCATACCTATACCTATTGCCTCTTCTGAGATAATGGCAGCAGATCCTACAACCTCTTCTCCAATCAGCTCACTTGATGTTTTGTCAGTGAAGGGCACTGGGAGAAAGGACTCCTCTTCCTGATTTCATGCTGTTTTTCTCTCCTGTGGCTCCAGTGCTGTGGCTGACATCTGCATGCATGCAGGAAGTTCTTGTGGTATTCACCCTGCAGCAAGTTCCTGTGACTAGTCACAGCCAGAGCTCACCTTCTCCAGCCTGGGCCTGCTGACAGATTGTCAAAGAGGTCATCCTAGTTGCCAGTTGCATTGTGAGATCCATCCTCACCCACATCAGCTTGCAGACTGGGAACTGCTCTCTCCTACAGCCGTCCAATGAACATGTCTGCTATAAAGTTCTCTGTGTTGACATGAGTCTAAACCCATTGGTGAAAAGATTGTCTTTGGTCATGTATGATTCTTCCTTTTGGTAATCTTCTTTGATTAAAACTTTGGTACATTTTGTAATTTTCATCTACCCCTCTCTGTAGGCTATCCCCCTAAAATATTTAATAGTTCTTTAAATCATCCCTGGTTTCTCTGTCCTGACTCCACTGTCTTACACACCTTTGATGCACTGATATGCTCAGTCCTCATTTTCAACATTCAAAGGCTAGGGAAAATTGTATTAAAATTGTGTGTATAATTACTCATGTTACTTTAGACTTAGAAGTAACAGTGCTGGATACAAAAATTCATAATTTATACTTGATATATTTTAACTAATAACAAGACTTTTAAATGTTTAATATGCACCTGGATACATATTTTTAAAGGTTACCATAAATATAGATATCAAAACAATTCTATAATACCAAGGAGGAAGCTTCAGATAAAGTATGGACTTTTAAGTGACCATGATGTGTCAGCACAGACTCATTCTCAGTAACAAATGTCCCACTCTGATGAGTGATGCTGATAATGGGGATGCTCTGCATGCAGGGAACATGGGGAACATGGGATGTCAGTACCTTCCTTTCATTTTTGTGGTGAAACTAAAACTCATCTCAAAATAATTCTTAAAACTTAGGTTTACAAAAATAATTGTAGTATTCTTACAGAAATTAAAAATGTGCTCTTTACAGATGGTAAGAGTAACATTATACCAAATTTAGGTGAGCTAATGTGACTGGTGCTTACAAATATATGTTCTGTTTTCTACGCAGGACTCAGAATAGAAGTTGTGTGTGTCATAATTCCAATATACACAATTCTTGTCCAACTCTGAAGTTTTTGCAAATCTGAAATGCAGAGATCATAAATCATTAATCTGATGATACATAACTTAATATTTAAATACACAAATATTTACAGGAATATTTACACAGGAAATCTGAATATTTCTTAATTTTTTTCTTAAAAGACACTTAAATATTTCTTCACATACTTTTTTACCCATTGCCTTTTGTTTCTAAGATTAATTCCTGATTGGAAAGCATGAGGGAATAATATATATGAGTTCTGAAGAAACTTACAGTTCAGAAGAGAGAGTTGTGCCAATTGTCCACACCCAAGAATTAGTATTATTTCTCTGGGACAGTCCAGTCCATGGATGTATTTCAAAAATGTTCAAAAAATTCTATGAGAATACAAATTTTATGAGAAATTAAGAAAAATTAATTTGTATTTGTAAAAACAATCAAAGTGGCTCACAGATAGAGGGGGAGGTGACAGCTAAGTAAATTGCACAGCCCACCAACATCTGATGACATTAGTGAATAAGCAATCAACCACATCCTGCACTCCAGGAATTCTTGGTCACCCCACCCAGCTGGCCCAGCATATCCAACACCCAAAGATCACACTAACTTGTGTGAAAAAATTAAGGATCCCGAATCCACATGGAACACCTCAAGAATCACCTGATTTGAGGCAACAGCTGCAGCAGAACCAACAATATCCTAAACAACTGGACAAAGAAACAGGTAAGTCCACAAAACAGTTCATATCTCCTTCTACCACCCTCAGTGAACAGCATGAAAGGAAAATATAGGTTAATTCTTAGTGGCTGAATTCAGAGCATCACTCACCAACTTACCTTCAAAGGTGAGTGGCTCAAAAAGAGAAAGAGTGTTTTGCATCAGTGGAGAGCTTGTACCAGAACATCTGGTGGAACCCTGAGGAGAGCTCAAAGAAAGGAATCTTGTGTTCTGGAATAGCCAAACTCACCCTCAAGCTCAAGTGCAAGATGAGGGAATTACAGAGGATGACCTCCACCTTATTCATAAAAAGAGTCTCCTCTTAGGCAACTGTAAGCTGATATTATGGATATTAATAAACTTTTCAAATATCTGGGAATGATAATTCATGAAAAAAAGGTGTGATCTCATTGGGAGCTAAAGTTGGAAGTGCAGGGATGCATGTGCAAGAAACCAACCAGCAACCATCAAGGGCGGCAGAATATCAGAAAGAGAACCCTGCATGTATGTTAGATGCACAAGACTTTTAAGAAAACTACAAATCTACAACTGTGCTACCATAGGAGGATAAACAAAAGTCTAAACCTTTACATTTTATTTTAGTTATTTATTAAAGTTTCAATTGATTTAATTTTAGAGAGAGAGAAAGAGAGGGAGAAAGAAAGGGAAACATTGATGAGTTGCCTCTCCTATGCTGGATCCCGATCAATCCTGTAACAACACAGACATGCGCCCTGACTAGAAATTGAACCAGTGACATTTCCCTTAACACAACAATGATCAACCCACTGAGCCACACCAAACAGGTCTACCTTTATGTTTTAAATGACATATTATAATTCTTTTGCCTCTGACTTTTATTTGCATATTGAGAATTTGCAGGTTTTGTTAATGTTGAACAATGAGAATGATTTTGGACACTAATAAACTGACCATAGAAAAATGCAACAATGCTATCTATTTTCAGAGAACCAATTTTGAAAGCAACATTTAAAGAAATTGTTTTTTTCTTTACCGCTCACATTCAATATTGTTTTGAACCTGTATATAGCTTCAGAGGTGACCACCCCAATGGATCTGGGGGCCATCTGACACCATGTATATTTTTTAAAATATTGTTGACTATATTCTCCATGTTGTGCTTCGCATTTCTGTGACTGATTTTATAAGTGGCAATTTACAAAAGAACTTTTTCATAAAGTTTCAAAATGCACAAGCTTTTAAGCTACTCTTAATTTTCATACATAGGCAACCATTTTTACCATTCCTCATTAAAAAAAAAGGACATATGCCAAATAAATCCCTTCCCTTTTTAAATCAATGATATTGTTTGTTTTGTTTCTTACTTTATTTTTATTGATAAAAGAGAGAGAGTGAGCAATCAGTTAGTTGGTTCACTTAGTGTGGCATTCCTTAGGAGCTTCTTGTATGTGCTTGATGGGGCATCAACCAGCACCTTGCCTGCATTCCAATGATGCTCTAACCAGTGGACCTACCAGGACTGGGTCTATATTAGTATTATTTTAACATTCTAATCGGAAGATAGAAAGATAATTATATAGGTTATAGTTTGTATTTTATACTGTTCTTATATAGCAGTTTGAAAAAGGCAATGTTGTGCATGGCAAGCTGTGAGACTTCAAATGGAGTCAAATAAAATATTAAGTAACTAAATTATATATTTGCAACCTAAATAAAGATGATTTTAAAAATGATAAACCAAATACAGTTATTTTTCTAAGTTAGAGTGATACAATTTATAATATACTTTTATATATATTGGACACACTAAGAAAATGTATTAGCATGATTGGCTGAAGGGACAAACATAACAATTTCATATCTCTGAAATTTGATCAAAGGGTGAAAATAACATGGGCATTTTTTACTAGAAAAAGCAGCCAGAGATTCCATTGAAAATAGAGCAAATCTGTAGTCTTCATGTCTAAGACTGCTTCCATGTCTCCCCCCTTCCCCATCTCAGTGCCTGAGTAAGAAGTGTAATTCTTACTCTGGGGAATGCTGAAACATCACTGGTGTTGCTACAGAGGAAGTCTGATTTCCTCTGGAAGTGGTGGTGAAACTGCCCACTCCTTTTTCAGGTCAAAGTGCTGAATTCACTAGGTTAAAAGTGAAGATGACCACCCTTTTTCAGGTCTGTGTAGCACAGTGCCAGCTACAAACAGGAAGGTACTCAATGTGAGAGCACAGTACAAAGGTGATATTAACGCTCTACACCTCTTTGATTGGTGGGAAAAATATTGCACTGTGTAGAAGAAACAAAGCTAATCAGGTAAAAAAATAAGCCAAAGTTGATTGGAGAACTGATTTTAAAATTATGAGTACTCCCTTACAAACACACACACACACACACACACACACAAAGTAGAGTCAGTAACAGAGAGTGGAGCCATACTGACTGAGGTATTTGGATAAATTTTTAAAGATCATTGTCTGTCAAGTAAGCTATGTAGGCCAAAGGGGAATCCCACAAATTGAGCCTAAAAATAAAATAATAACAAGAATTTTAAAAACGGAGTAAGCACACTTCAAAAGAGATGATTCTACAGTAATAATTTTCTGAAGTTACAAAAGTATAAATCTAATAAGCATGTAGGAGAATCCATGTTTATTATATTATGTTATTGAAAATGTGAGCTTACCCAAATTTTAAAACCATGCAAAAAACTAAAAAAACACTTCCATACTCATGGGGATAAATGATCCATACAATATAACTTTCACTGGGATAAAATGTTAGATTTTTATACAAATAATTAATACTGGTTATTATAAATATATATATATATGTACCTAAAATATATTTTTAAAACTATGTTCCAGAGGGGAGAGGAGAGGGAATTTCAGGGGAATTTTAGGGGAAGAGGGGAAGGGCTTACAGGAAGAAGTATTAAGGACACATGGATAAAACCTAGGGGTGGGTGGAAATGGGAGGCAGGAGGGGAGGGCTAGGTGGGTGGGTTGGGATGGGGGTAAAAGATAGAAAATTGTACTGCAACAACAATTAAAATAAAAAACATTAAAAAATAAAATATATTTACTATCATTGAGCTTCCTGCTTAAAAAAACATTAAAAAAAATGAAAGAAAGAAAGAAAGAAAGAAAGAAAGAAAGAAAGAAAGAAAGAAAGAAAGAAAGAAAGAAAATAAAAAATTAGGTTCCAATAGCTCTATGGAAATATGATGGCAGTGACAGACAATTAAGGAAATAAAAACTGTATCAATAAATCAAATATAATTATCAGTTGAAAAATCATTATCTACATTACAAAATTCAATACATTTACATAAATGTTGAAATGTAGAAGAAAGAATTGGTGAAATAAAGATGGAGTGACAAAAATAATTATTTCCTGAAGGTAGAGAGAAAGAGATAGAAAAACTAATGTACCTGGAAGACCTTTATAGAATTTTATCAGTAAAACCAACTTAGGTGTAGTTATTGCCTCTGAACAAAAAGAAAGACAAAAGAAGTGAGAAAAACAATTTTTGAGACATAATGAATGGTCATCCTGTAAAATTTTATATTAAACTATATAGACCCAAGTATATAAAGTTGTTTATGTAGAAAAGATCATCTGCTATAAATTATGCTGTATCAACTAGGTAATGATGCAGGAAAGTGGGAACTTTACCTCCACCACACAGCATCACAAACACAGCATCACAAAAATATACATTCCCAAAGTATTATAGACCTAAAAGTCCATCAATAAAGAAAAAAAGATAAACCATAAAGAGTAATGCAGTGGATTATCTTCATGATCTTTGATTAACTTGTCAAACATGTCCAGAATAATCACCAACATCCAAAATGAGATATTGGACGATGGTAATGTTAATAAATCCTGGTCATTAAAACACTCCAATATGAGATGAAAAATGTAATTAACAGTCAAGGAAGATATTTGCATCTTACAAATTCAAAAAAGAGTCATATGGAAAATACAACTACTCCTAAGAAGGAAAATAACAAGTAACATACAGTAGAAATGGTCAAGAGACCTGAAAGGGCACTTCTCATTCTCACAGTACAGAAATCCATAATGAAGGTGCTCTGAAAGATGTGTTCAATTGACCATTGAGAAAAATACACATCAGTGTCATAATGATGCATTTATATAATGATCAGAGCTGATGGCATTAAAATTTCTGGCAGTACTAAGCTTTGGATCATGAAACTATTGGATATAATGTGTATTTATACAACCAACTAGACAGTGCAGAGATAATTTACGTACACATATATTTTTGACCCAGCCATTTCATTCTAATGCAAAAAGGCAATACATTTTAATTACACACATACACCATTAGAACAACTATATTTATAAATTATTATTATACTATTATAAACATAACATTTATAGTATATCAATTTATATATTGTATGTAGTATTGAATATAAATTATTTTAAATATGACATATTTGGAAAAAAGACATACACAAAAATTTTTATTAAATAATTACTCATAGCAACCACATACTAAAAACATCTCTATTCTGAGCAGAATTGGTTAAAGAATGTGAGGTATGCACAATATAGCAGTGAGAATTAATGAACTTCACGTACATGTAATAATATGGGTTAATTGAAAAACTATAATGTGGGAGTTAATGGAGACATGCAAAATACCTAATGAATGATTCCCATTATATAAAATTCTAAATTAAGAAAGGTAATATGTCATATAAAATTTCAGAATAGTAGTTAAGTGAGGAGGGGTGAGAAGTTATGAGAAAGTGCACATGAGTGGGCTGGCAACACCTGTTTCATGACCAATTTCAGTCTGTAACACACACAATCATGTCCATAGTCTCCATGATGCATGCTACAATGAAGTAGCAAAGTTTACTTTAGGAAGAAAAGCATTTATAGGAGCATGATTGTCTATGAAAATCAAGAACTGTCAATTATCAAATACACATTAATGGCATAAAATATAAATAAAATATGGAGTCAACAATAAAATATTAATTTTTACAATAAATTACAGATATATACAAAAATATGTATGAATTCTCTGGAAATATAAAAGAAAATACTCTTTTAAAGAAAATGTTGGAAACATTAAAAATCTTACCATTTCTTCTTCATTATCTATATAGAGCAGGTTAGAGTTCTTAGAAGCGCAGGCCATCAGACTCTCATTCCATGTTTTTCCTTCAGTGCTGATGTAATAGCAGTTGTTGGAATACATTAACCACTCTGGTGGGCATGGTCCACAATGGTATACTGAGGAAAGATTATGTATTATCATCAAATAACAATATGAATTTAAAAATGGAAATTAATTTCAGTATTTGCATAGGTACAGACAAATTAGTGCACAGTATATGTACATACCTTCACAGACTGGCATATATAAGGCATAATACACTCATACACACTCAGCCACACTCACAGAGAATGGTCATCCCCTCACTCCCTAATTGATGTGCCCATATTAAGCAAACACACAAACAAAAATATCCACTTTCTATATGCCCTGAATGTCCGTGAATGAAATCACATTTTTAGAAACCAAAATTATCTTTCAACCAACTGGCAACAATGAGTATGATAAATTAAATGAATATTTCTTCATATTTTTGCATAATAAATATACTTTACTACATTTATTATTTATGTACATTTATGCCTGGAATTATAATTTATGTTTCCCCCACCAAAAAAATAAAACCTATAAATTTTGACTGTGTTAGAGACAAGGTAGGAGCTGTATTGATATCAGAACATAGAAAATAATTAGGTACCTTTCTTGTTCCTCGTTGTCTGGTTCCCTGTCTTGTTCTCTGCCTGGCTCACTGTTAAGTTAATATATAACTTAAATTATGTTCTGTAGAAAGAAGAATTATTCTGCACCAGTATTACATTTGCTATAAAAAGAAGGAATTATTGTAAAAAAGTAATGGTGATCTACATAAATCTTAATACTTTTGTTTCTTACTTTGAAAAGTAGTGTATTGTCCAAGATTATAATGGCCTGGAATAAAATTGATTTGACTAAGAAAAATTAATCAAGCTATGATGATTTGAGAGAAAATATTTCAAAAACCTCAAAAATTAAACTTCATCAACTCTTACACTATATGGATTAATCCATATGAAGAATTTATTTGTATTTCTCAATAGGTGTCCTAATGCATGCCTTGAATTATAACACAAGAATATCTATGGATATATGGGATATATATATATATATATATACTTATATATGTATGTATATGTATATATATATATATATATATATACACACACACATACTACTTTTTTGAAATTTTTATTTATTATTTATTTATTTACTGTTGTGCAAGTACAATTGTCTCCATTTTCACCCCACCTAGGCCTCCCACCCCACCCATTCCCACCTCCCACCCTCAAACTTACTCCCTTTGGCTTTGTCTATGTGTCCTTTATACATGTTCCTTGATGGCCTTCCCCTACTCTCCCCCATTATCCCTCTCCCTTCTCCCCTCTGGTTACTGTCAGTTTGTTCTTCAATTCAATCTTCTTGGTTATATTTTACGTGCTTGTTTGTTTTATCCATTATGTCCACTTACAGATGAGATCATATGGTATTTGCTTTTCACATCCTGGGTTATTTCACTTAGCACAATACTCTCTAGATCCACCCAGCTGTCACAAAGGGTAGGAGCTCCTTCTTTCTTTCTGCTGCATAGTATTCCATTGTGTGATGAACATAAAAGTGTAGAGTTTCACATAATCTTACAATGATTTACTTACGTTGATTAACAGCTCTTGTTACCACAGTGGTCATCAGGACAAGGCAGATGAACCCTAGGATCCCAGCAATGAGCTTCTCTGGAGGTGACAGGGATGCTGCAGGGAGGCAAATGGAAACACTGAGAAAGGAGGGATGGAGACAATTGTTTGGACAGTTTACACACAGGGAATTATGCACATAAACTTGGACCCCAAAACAATACCTACCATTGTAATCTTCCTCTCAGAATATACCATTGCATTTTCTCTAAATATAATGCTCTACAAGTTACTTGTCAAAGACTGCAACTTACAACAATGTCTGAATAAAATTAGTACTCAGCTTTCATATTAACATACCACATTCCAACTTCAAGTTCTGATCCTTAAGATGAAAAAAATATGTGAACTTACCCCCTTCTATTTCCCACACCTCTGCACCCAGCTGCACATCTTAGAACAGTTATACTGTGTCTGCTGAATGTGTTACCTCTGCAATGGCCATTCCTGTCACTCGCTCGAAGATCCTGAGAAGCATTTTGAAGATTTAAATCTGCATAGGTTAGTTCCTGCTCAGTTCCTGGAGTGGAGCCTTTAGTGCCCTCAGGTTTTATGTGCTGTCTCTTTGCATCCTTAACCCGATTCAGTTCTGTGTAGGTTACTCTCTGGTCACTCATCTCTGCAGCTGAGTGGTGGCTGAGACTGAGCTCTACATGTGTGCTTACGTACAAGTGACACACACACTGAAGAGATCCATCACAGTGACACTTGGAGGGGTACGGGGTGAGTATCGGGCTCGTTTACCAGTTAGGACCCTGATGTTGTGCTTATAGATTTCTTAAATCTTTAAAGAAGTGCCTCATTGTAGATACAATATGTAAGATATTCTACATTTGACAATATATTGTTTGAGCAGTAAAAATCTGTATGTTAGTGATGAATAAAATAATTTCATAAATATCATCCTTGTTTATTCAAAGTCCAATTCCACAGAAATACTTTAACACCATTACAATGCTAGTATGAAAAATAAAATGCAATATTAGAAAAAAGAGACACAATATTTATGGTAAATTGGAAGTTGAATACTGATTAAAGACTGAGTGCCCTCAAGAAGGGGCACTAATCATGTTGGCATATCTAGTAATTTTCTGAACTAAACTTTTATTTAGTGACATACATTTATTCATTACATAGGGTGAGCTGTTATCAAATGATCTTCTATTTTGAATAAAAATGTTTCATATGTTAAAAAATTTTTGTCATGCTAAACTTACTCAAGACCTAAACAATACTGACAACAAAGTAAAAATTTTTAAACACTTATGTTATACAAGAAATTGGCAATTGAGTTAAGGGCAAAGATATAAAAGCATAAAATGTGAAATAAATGTGTAGATCAGTTATATTACAACACTGTTGTATCAAACTTTCAGACAGTTCCCATGCAGGTTAAACTCAGGGCACCTTCAGTTGTGTGAGCCACAGTAATGAATCAGATGGTGTAATTTAATAATTCATTCAATGGGCTCTGTAGCCAGTGAATTCCAGAATTAATTCTGGCTTTGAAATAGTCAATGTGTGACCTTTACAAAGCTACTTAGTGTCTAACAGCATACTTTACTAATATAAAGTGGGAATAAAAACATGTGTACATAATACATGTAAAACTTTTAATGTTTCATGTTTTTTAAGCTCTCCAAAAATATTTTAGTTATCCTAATATCATTTGAACACATTTTTAATCTTATTTCTGATTCATACTACCTGAATGCTGCAGCTTAATTCATTAGGCAAAGTGTCTATCAGTGTGGTATATTTCCCAGCAATGGTGCTCAATTTTTAAATATCTTTTGATTGTTTATAATTGATTCAATTAGAATTTTATGAGAGTACTTCATCCTGATTTTTATTGAAAGCCAAATGCATTTATTTAATCTAATTAAGTATATAAAATATTATGTTTGACCTCCATAATTAATATAATTTATTTTAAACATCTCTTTTTAGAGGCTGGGTTAAATATAAAAAATAAATAATTATATCTATATTGATTATAAAATCAAAAAATAGCTGTTCTTTTGCATATTCTTATAGGATTTTTACTTCAAATGGTTTTGATTAACACACTCAATTATTCTTGTGTATATACACTTGAGTAATTGTCCACAGGAAAGAATTTGAATAGTTGAAGACATCCTCCAACATATTTCATATTTTTTTCTTGACTTTTTACTCTAATTTATTTAAATAAAATACCAATATTCTCTTTGATTTGCTTGTATATTAATCGTACCTTACTTACATCACATCTTATGTTGTAATCTCCCCCTACATGAGATGGGCTAAGACAGAGACAGGAGAGGAGAGACACACACATACCTTCTGAAGGCCAGAAAGTCCTGCATCCTGTAGTGGGAGACCAGCTAACTCTTGTAAACAAACAATCTCTGTGGTCTTCACAGATTGACCTGTGAAGGTTCCAGTGAGGCATGAGTTCAAAAAGCAGATTTGTCAATAATGTGTCACCTAACGTTTGAACAGGAAATTCTTACACTGGGGCTATTTTTAAGAGTTTGTATCTCATCACACACCTACAGAATCTAGGAGTCCTTTGGCTGTTAGAGTGCATTCAGGTTGTTTTTTGGCAAATGCATCTGGAGATTGTTTTCTTACTCTGAAAGGTATTAGGGGACAAAGACTGAACCACTTACGCTGTGAACTTACTTCCATCTTCATCACAGACTCTGAAATCTTAGGCCTTGTTAAAAATATTTTTATGTGTAAATTCTATGCCTAGACAGGTTTATTTAATTTTGGCTTTACATATTTCTCTTCCTTGTATTCTCATTATAGCATTTCTATTATAATGGAAACAATTTAAAAATCATAATTCCATAAACAATAGATATTTGATGACACTTGTCAGCAGTATTCTGAAAAATCACTACATTTTGACTGTTATGGTAACTGTCACACTCACTAATCCCAATCATTTTTCTCAATTTCTTGCCTCAGTTCTTAAGATTCCTTCATTCATTTTATTGTTATTAACTGTTATTTAGATTTCCCTTGGTAAAGATAATATCTCCATGAAAGATAAAACATCAAACAATATTGAACTGTATCACTATGTGCCACAGATTAAATTGTTATGTAACTATTAATTACATTTTTGTTGACTCATTTTCAATTTACTACTAATTGTCTGTAATTTAATTAGAATATTTGTTTTAAATGACGAAAAAAATCTAATTATGTGTGGTGAAAACAAAAATAATTTAATTGTTTTCCTTATTTAACTAATGGGAAGGACAGAAAAAATAGACTTCTGAAAGACAATTTAAATGACACATGAGTATGAAAAGAATAAAAAATTTACTGCATAATGTTTGATTTATATATATTGCAGAATGATTATCACAATAGGTTCAGCTAACATCCACCTTCTCATAGAGTAAGTAAATATTAAAAGAAATAAAGAATATATGGGATATTAACAGTGTTTGTGTTACCCAACTACTAATCATATAGTAGCTGTCTATGTCATCAGACCAGCAATTTTCAACATTTCACATGTCATGGCACAATTAACTAATTATTAAAATTCTGTGGCACACCAAAAAATTATTTTTTGCTGATGGGAACAAATGTAGGTATAATTTTGATTGACTGATGAAAAATAATAGTACTATTACCTACTCTTTTTGCTTCAATATGACTTTTTAAAATATCAAGTGCCCATCCTTTTATAGAACAAGATCTGTCTGAAAAATGTCCAGCCATTGTTAATGTAACGGGAATGGTTTGCATGACATTGTTGTAATATGGCAGACAAGGAGAGTGGACTGGAATGCGCATGTGTGAACAATGACAACCTCACTGTACTATTCAGTGGGGGCTGCAGACGCCACTGACTGACCATGTGTACTATGTGGCTGTTGCATTCAAAATGACTGAGGAAGTATAGAGCAATGAATCTGCACCAAATTTTGTGATAAGCTTAAATATTCCTCCATGAAAACTACACGGGTGATTCAGAAGGTTTCAAAGATGCTGCAGTGAGTGCAGTGCAAGCAATAAAGTGTGGCAGAAATACTTCAAAGGTGGTCAATAATCTGGTAAAAGTAACCCGGTACCTGGAAGGTCTACAACCAACAAAACACCTGAGAATGTTGAGCATGTAATGTCTGCAATCAACATGATGGGTGACTCACAATGCAAGAAATAGCAGCTGATCTGGGGATTCCAAAAATTACTGTGCCTTATTTTGTTTTTATTTTAGTTGTTGTTCAAGTACAGTTTTCTGTCTTTTACTCCCAGCCCAGCTCATACCGCCCCAGCCCTCCCCACCTCCATCACATTTGCACCCCCAGTTATTTTTTGTCCCTGTGTCCTTTATAGTTGTTCCTGTAAACCCTTCCCCTTTTCCCCTGAAATTCCCTCCCTTCTCCCCTCTGGTCACTGTCAGCCTGTTCTCTGTTTCAGTGTGCTTGGTTATATTTTGCTTGCTTGTTGGTTTTGTTGTTTAGGTTCCTGTTAAAGGTGAGATCATATGGTATTTGTCCTTCTCACTTCCTGATCAGCACTCAGTCAGCCTCGTGTGCACTCTCCCCAGGGCTAGCCTGGGGCCTCTCCCTGGGCTTTTGGTGTGGGATCCAGGCCTTCCTCAGAGCACACTCTCCCCAGGGTTACAAGTATGGGCTCCTGGCCTTCTACAGAGTGCACACTCCTGGGTTTTTGGATACTTGGCAAGGTGGCTTCTGGTCCCAGGGGTTCATGGGGGCACTCTTCCCAGGGCTCCAGGAATGTATGCGCAGGCTTCCACACTGCCCTACTGGGTATGGGGGAGGCCAGAGCAAGTGCTGCAGGGGAATTTCCCAAACAGTGTGTCCTTTTTCACTTTTGCTTTTTGAGAAATTCCTCCTACTCGAGCCTCCCACTCCATACAATGAATGGCCTTGCCTCTCCCACAGCCCAATTCTCCAGGCAGACTGGGGACTATCTGGGTCAGGGCCCATTGGGTCCAACTCTTAACCCTCCCCAATGGGCATCCACAGACTCCGTGGGTGCTCACAGCCCCTGTGTGTTGGCCATTTAATACTTATTCCCTACTCTGGGACTCCAGACAACCAGGTCTCTCCCAGTGCTGCTCAAACCTCAATTGGCTGGGGAGGGGGCAGCCAACTTAGCTTTCTCCCAAGAACCCTGTGGCAGGCCCAGGGGGTAAGGGGCCTGGGGCTGCAGCCACCCTGGTCCCCACACTGGTCCCTGGGACCTTATTATCCTGAAGTACTCTTCTTACCATCTGCTTTTTCAATGTCCACTACAATTTTTGGTCTCTTATTTTCATATATGCTGGAGTACTGTTGGCTGTTGGCTCTGTTCCTCTGTAGATGAGCTAGGTTTTTCTCCCATGTGTAGGAGGAAGTGGAATCTGCTCCCTCCTACTTCACTGCCACCTTCCTCCTCTGTGTCTTAGATTTTGATGCAGGATCTTGGCATGGGAAAATCCCTTCAGTTGCCTCTGCTACCAGAGCAGAAGTCACATCATGCTGCAATTGATAATGACTTGATTCAAACTGCTACCAATGAACTAGATTTTCTCAAGATGGTCAAAATTGGAGATGAACTGTGGGTCTGTGGCTGTGATCCAGAAATGAAGGCCCACTGGTCA